TGACCGATGGCTAGAGCAAGTAGAGCTCAATCAGCATTCCTCCCTCACCACTGAATTACCAAAGTTAAGGTGAGAGTCTTATGCCTAACCCGATGCTTTGGTGGAGCAGAGTGCTTTACTTCTTCCAATTGGTCTTGTTGGTTGTCAGATTAAGGCGATGTTCAGTCACGTCCTTCACCTGTCCAAGAATTGAGATTTGGGATAGTACAAAATTCCCGAACAGTATTTCAAAATGTAATATTTGCGCATGCAAGCCAAATTCTGGTATGCTAAAGTGATCTGCTCTGACACACTGACGCTCTAAGGAAGGATACAAACAAACAACAATTTCTCTGAGAAGATTAATCTGTCTTGTCCTTCTCCTTTTTTCCTTTTTCTCTTGAGCATTTTTCCTAGTTTTTCTTCTTCTGTCCCTTCCACACATTTAATGCTTTCAGGGGATTTTTCATTTCAGCAAAATCTTCTCTTTTTAAAATTATTTTCTTTACTTTTATCTCTCTTATTATCTAGTTTTTTCTTCTGGCTCCATTTGAAGTCTCAGACTGAAATTTCCTCCTTGTGGGAACCCAAAATGTGTCACTTAAACAAGTTGTAATTTGACCAACCAATCATGCCTCTTAAAAGAATGTGTCATATGTTATTATTTCAGCTCAGACTTCTGAGAGCTCTGGGAACTTTCCACAGCCACTTTCTTTCCTTTTTCAAATACAAAAAAATGTGTATCTGTGAAAACTAACCAATTTAAATGAACTCCACTAACTCTACCCAGAATAGTGGTCAAATATCCAGCCAGAATTATGCCAGAAGCTTTTTGGTGAACGAAAAGTCTCATTTTACCTAATATTAGTGGGGCTGTTATGTACATATATCACCCTGTATGTATACTTTCAACCTTGTCTGAAAAGAGAAAAATGAATTAAAACTTGTGCATCCAATTCTTGTTTTTTAAAGTCATTAAAGTTGTATGCTGTACAATCATTCCACCGTGGAAAAATAACAGCTCAAAGGAATCAATAAAAACCCCAAATGACCATGATACTCATGCCCATGATGAGTGCAAGTAAACTTTTTACTACAACAGTACATGCCACTACTGCATGACATTAAATGTTGTCTTCGCTCTCCCATAGTTTGTTTTCTTGTCTTTGACTTTCTAGTCTCTCTTTCCATTCAGCCCAAGTAGTCATGGTATATTGCTGCCCCTCCCTGTGTCTGGCTCTACTGGTGTATTTTTCCATTTAAAGGTGAGTTTTTTTTCCCTTCCCAGGGAAGGAACGAGTACTTTGATTTATTGCCTTATAAGAAGTGATTACATAAGCACACATTGCACACATGCACAGTGTGTGACTCTGTTTGTTTTCATTTTGGCACAGGCAGCTTTTCTATTTTTTGGTTATTTTTTGTTTTTGTTTTGTTTCATCAACCAGTCAAACCTCTTGGAAGAATGTATTGTACCATAGGTTACTACTTTCACCTTTCCCCTCTGTCAGTGCACCCCAGGGCAGCTGTGGCTACAATGTAGCTTGCCATCACCAGTGTGTGAATGTGTGCGTGAATGACTGAATGTAGTGTAAAGCACTTTGGGGTCCTTAGAGACTAAGTAAAGCGCTATACAAATGCAGGCCATTTCAGTCCATTGCTTGCTTAGAGTTGCTCTTGTAATTTTCCCCTGGAAGTCCCTGCTAATGTTTTCTCATTTCTTCCCATTTTTTCTCATGCCCAGAACATCCTTTTTCTAGGTTTGTGAATATAGTTGAAAATGCTAACTCAGACTACTTTCTAAGAAGATTTTTGAGCAGAATACTCATCCTGGTTTTTAGAAACAAATCCTGTGTAATTATGAAGTTAAAACAGAAGTCGAGAAAATGTTTATTTTGGGGAAAAAGAGGATTTGTTCTTCTAGTTGCGTTTTGTGCTTGTATGCATGTATCTGATGTGATATGTTGCTGTTGTTCCTGCATCACCATAATAATGCTGGTCCAGGATTATCATTTCAACTGACCAACCACGGGGGAAAGCAAAAAAATAATTTTGCTTGCATAAAACCCCAGAACAAAGAGTTAGGTTTTCTGTTACCCAAGTTCAAGTTGCTCGTGCTGGTTTGTTATTGATTGTATTTAAAAGCATTCGCTGTCTTCTTGGGTAATGCTAACTGAATGCTCAGACTTTGTCATTTGTCAGTTGCAATGTTTATCGTGGTTCAGCAGTTATGATGACATAAAACACAACACCAACACAAAGATATCAGATCATAATACATACCAGTCATTACATATGGAAGCAATCGATGCACTTTTAGCACATACAGAGATTGTGATGAATGATGTTTAAATAGAAGAAGTGTGTAAAACTATATTTCTGGAAATGGTAATGTTGGAACGGCCCATACAAGCAATATAAAAATATTAAATATTAAATCAAAAATCATTAATCATCATTGCTATATTGCTCCCCCAATACTCAAATGTATGACCTACTGTGAGAGGGCTTGGGGAAGCATAAAACTAATACTAATCCAATTTATATGCCCTCCAAGGTGCTCAGGAACTTTTACTCGTGCACCATAGAGAGCATCCTGGCGGGAAACATCTTAACCTGGTTCGGGAACAGCACCATGCAGGACAGACGAGCTCTACAGAGGGTTGTGCGGTCAGCTGAGCGCACCATCCGCTCCGAGCTCCCTGACCTGCACTCAATCTACAGCAGGCGTGCTGGACCAAGGCCAGGAAGATCGTGAAGGACCTCAGCCATCCCAACAACAGACTGTTCTCTCTGTTGAGGTCAGGAAAGCGATTCCGCTCCCTGAAGACCAACACAGAGAGACTGAGGAGGAGCTTCTTCCCGCAGGCGATACGGTCTCTCAATCACACCACCACACAGTACTGACCCACACATATAGTTCTTACACACACACTGGACTTTCTGGACTTTGTTTTTGCACAACACTGGTCACTATATTCTTCATTTCCGGTTAATACTTGTACAGCTGCTGTTATTGTGTATATATTTATTTATATTTAGATTTCTTCATACATTCTTATATAGTTCTATATTGTGTATTTTGTTGTACAGTTATTTTATTTTCAACTTTAATTTATATATTTTATCTTATTCTCCCAGTTAAAATTACCCTTCATTCTAATTTGTGTTGTACAGTTATTTCATTTTTAACCTTAATTTATATTTTATTCCTTCCTAGTTAAATTTACCCTTTTTAATTTTTCATATTTATTTCTTATCTTATTCATAGCCTTTCCTTTTTTTGTTTTCTTTAGGTCACGAGCAGTTGTCCAAGCATTTCACTACATATCATACTGTGTATGACTGTGTACGTGACAAATAAAATTTGAATTTGAATTTGAATTTGAATTATATTTAAAAGAAAGCTATAATAAATAGATCAGATCATCATGAACAAAGCAGCTGAATATTCATGAAATTGCATGCCTTAAAGTTTTACGATTTTGTTTAACTCAGCACTACACTGATATTGTACAAAGGACAAAATGATCTCCTTCCAAACTATATCCAGAGATTGTTTGAAATTAGAGGAGAAAATATATCATATGTAAATATGTGATTATTGCTCAAATGAAAAATCAGTGGGGTAAACTTCTAGAGTGATTGTGATGAGGAATTAAGATTGCATTGTTCATCATGTAAATTTTTAAAAATGTTTCAAAATCAGGTGGTAAAGAAATCTAAAAACGAGATGCAATATGAATTCCATTGTATATGAAACTTTTGTTTTTCTCCTAGTTCAATATCAGTTGTTCAGTGAAATATTTGTTTGGTGAAATCTAGTTAACCATTGAAATTATGTTGTATGTATGTAGGTATATGAGGCTTCAGTTGGTAATTCATTTGTGTTCTTCCCATTTAATTTAATCCCCGACTGTCAGTATTTACTTATTTATTTATACAACCTCACATTTTGTTGTTTTCAAAAAGAAAGGACTGAAGTTTACACACACACACACACACACACACACATACACACACACACACACACACACACACACACACACACACACACACACACACACACACCTCAAGTCCAGAGGAGTCAGCTGAATGGGAAGAACAAGATCTGGTCAGTTATCACCTACGCCCTGCCGGTGATCATATATCCCCTGCTGGGATAATAACCTAGCCAAAGGAGAATATAGAAACCACTGAAATCAAGACAAGGAAGCTCCTTATGGAGGCTTTCACACTAAATCAAGCACCCCGAGCGCTGTCTAAGATGGGACAATGAACATCGCCCTTATGAAGTCAGTCACTGTACAAAAAAAGTTATGCTCAATGTTAAAAGTAATGCAATTGAATAGAGGTTTGACAGATTACCTATTATCTATGTCTATGTAACATGCTCCACCTAGACTGGTTCCTGATCAACTGTAATTTTTGCTGACAGTAAAATCAAACTGACAAAAGATACCACTCCCACATTGCTCTCTTTTGGCTGACATACTAATCCTGCTGTCACTATCTAGTATCTACAGAGGTCATTTTAGTCATGCAAGTGGATGCTTCCTATTAACAGAATGAGCATTAGTCATAATCATTGTTAACAGGTACCTCTATTAGAGCACCTTCCATCAAAGCACTTCTTACTCTGTTGACTTATCTTGAAAAAGTAACTTAAGGTCAGTCAGATTTACAGTATGCTTAGCATGCTCCAGGAAGTACTGTGCCTTCTACCATAGCTGGTGAACAATGTACTGCTGTAATGACCTAATGCAAGAAAACAACAAAGCAGCTTAATTGGAGTAAGTTACCTGTACCTCAATGTCATAGCTTAATTGTTTAACTTACATTTGATACACTGTGCATGTGTTTTTATCCAGAGTGACATAAAACCGTGTATTGTAATGATTAAAAAAATAGATAAATGTATCAGATTCACATTAACATAGCAATATGGATCCATCCTGCCTTGTTTTAATTGTTCAGGCTGATGTTGGTGGTGTAATATTGCAAGGAGATTACAGGATGATGGTATCATGAAAAACTAAGGCCTGTAGCTTTACACAAGAATCACACATTACAATTTCAGACAAGTGTTGTTTTAATTTAAACTGGCTACAAGAAAACATTTTCCACTGCTAAAGCACAAGATCATTTAATTAAAAAATATATTTTTCTTTGCTTTTTGTATAGCAAAAACACAAGATGACCACCTATACTCAAAACATACTCATGTTTTTAATTAGTGATTGACTTTTTTATTTTTCTTATAAGATATGTTTTGCTGAAGCAAAGCAAACAGCTATTTTATAGCAAGCGCAGAATTATTTTTGTTTGGCAACCTAGTTTCAAGGTTTAATATTATGCCAGCTTGACATTAATCCCCTCAAAGTTTAATAAGCAGCATTTCTGGTCAACCATTATAATGATATACATATAGTACATATAAAGTACATATTCAAATGTCATCAATGAAAAACCACTTTCCAAGCTAACATATAAAGAAATTAATAAGTGCAGTACAATATATATTTTTCACAGCAGTTCATCACAGGTCCAAATTATATAAAATAGACACAGAGGCATGCCAGCAGCAGAAGACATAAGAGAGGTCGAAAAGCACTGAATGCAGATTCACTGGTCCCGTGGCCACTGGCAGGGGCTGTGTGGGCCGATACACATTGAAATATCCTGTTTGTTTGGGGAACATCTTGATCTAGTGGATAAGAACGAAAGAAATCCTTTAGGACACATTTAAATATTCAATTGAAAAAAGTCATATCATTATTTGATGCATATGTTCCTGCACTGGAATGCACGCTCTGGTTTATTGTTGCAGAAGTGTAGCCTGTAATCTGCTAGCTGTTGAAGCCTGTCATGGATGTCTCATAAGAGTTGATGAAGAGGTGAAATCACGTGATACATGTACAGATTGCCAAAGATTATGTTGAACTGTTGAAGACAGTCACATGTTTTTCCTCTTCCTGCCCAACACTGATTAGTGATTTACTGAGAGCAGCTGATTTCACAGATAACTGAAAGTGTCATTCACACCAGAGGAAACTGAGCAGGTGAATTGCTTACATTTGAGTGTACTGTCATAGATTATTGTGCTGTAATGTAGTTTTACCATTACTCTAGCATTAATAAAAATTATTGCATCTTTTTTTACAATAGTGCAATGACAAAAGTGTTATTTTTACATTTTTCATGCTGGTATTGAGAGGTGCTTTGCTTTTAACTGTGTGTCGTTAAGGTTGACTATCACAATAATACTTGATCTTGGTCATTGAATTTGTCTTTTGTGGAGACTTGATATGCATTTACTTGATAACTGTGCATTACAGTTATCATCACTCTCTCAGTGATGCTACAGTGATGTTTGCTTCAGTGAGTTTGGGTACCAAGGAAGAGTTTGGACCCGGATTACTAATGACAACAGACTTAAGTGCCTGACCAGAATATCAAATGAAATGCACATTGCTGACTCTCTGTGATCAGTATTATTACTCATTATTTCAAGTTTATTCATTATTTCAAGCTGTTGACTCAAATGTTTAAAATGTCTGTGTCACAATTCATGTTCTGAGCCTTCAATACCAAGGGAATACAGTCATTTTAATCACTGTACATAGGTATGTCAGCCATGTATATTATCATTCCCATTTTGCTTCATCTGTATGGCATACCATACAAAGGTCTCAAGGCTAGCAAATTACCTTTTTAAAATGGATGATGGGTAAAACTTACCAGGTTTAAGTCCACATTGACTGGCTCTTTAAAGACTGTCCAGACAACTGCTTGGTTGCATAAAGGTGTGGTTAGGGAGCCACTGTAGCGGTAGTAGTCATGCCGGTTCACATTGCCAAGCAAGTCATCAATGGAGATCTCATATGTGACCATCACTGTTGTGCCTACAATGAAGCAAAGATGCACAACATGTGGTGATCTGCTTGGGCCCTGATTCAGAAGTTTGCTTTCCTGTTCAACAAAGCACATGTGTGCTCACTGATATTGTGTATCTTTGAGAGATAGCTGGTCAGGTTTTCCAGAAGTCTGTGTTAGATGTTGGTGCTGATGTAGGATGTGTCTATCGAGACAGTTATATTGGATAATTAGAAAGAAACTCAAATATATGGGTTGTAGTTTAACAAAGCTAAAATAAAAACTAACAAAAAAACAGAAACTTACTGTTCCTGATCCAGTACTCCCATGAGAGCTGCTCGAAGTGCTCCCATGAGAGGTGCTCTTGGTAGTAGGGATAGACTGGAAAATTGACATTAAGAGAAACTTTTAACCCACAACTCACAAAATGATATTGGAAATAACAGCAAGCTTTCTTTATAGACCTAACAATCGCTTCAGGCTTTTTTGAAAGCCTTGATTGAGTTTAAAAATCAATCAAGTGATTGATTTAAAAAAAAAAACATATCATACAGAAGTATATTATTTTTTACGTGACTTTTTAAAATCACAAAGATGCTCATCACTTCTGTAGCTTAAAGCATCTCAGATAATGACTGCATAATTATGACCAGAGTTTTTGTCTGACATTAATAATGCAAAGTATTTAGGAAAATGATTAATCATCTTTATTTTCACAAGTATTTCCCCATGAAAAGACAGTTGAAGTGTTTATTAAAAATATGACTTCAAAGCGAGCCATATGTTAATATTGCTAATGCCAGAGATTTGTATATTTTGTGTATTTGAGAGATGTTATTTCACTTTTCTCAGATTTGTGTGGAATTCTAATGATCAAATATAGAGTGCAAAAAAGTTTTTTCTCCTTTAACTATTAGGAATGGATTCCCATCTATGATATTACAACTGTCATCAGCCGCCAGCATGAACTGCACTGTTAATCAGATAACTCTAAGACGATGACACTGAGTGTCTGAGACAGTGATCACATAACTTGGTGCGTAGGACAGGTAGAAATAGAAACTATTTTGTCTTACTTATTTTCTTCTGCCCTGTTCACATTGTAGATCCCTTCAGAAATTCGAGTGTAGTGCAGATTTAGCTTTCTTTGAAATACATGGAATGTGTATCATAAGCCAAGTGTTTGACAACCAATATAGCATATATACTACTGTTAACAGCTTAACTTCCCCAGGTTTTACCTCAATAAAGACTCCCAACATTGCCAAGCCATCCGGTGCCTGTAATGCCTCATCCAGGGTTAAATCCTTTCTCTTGCTTACAATGTGCATCTGGACAAAAGACCAACTTAATGGCATGGAATATAAACAGGCTAGGTGTTTGGGGAAAATGCTTCAGATGCTTAATCTTTGTCACTACCTCCATTGGGTATCTTTTTGAGTCCACAGTATGCTCTGAGCCTTCAGACGTATCTGATGTGTCACCCCAGTGGAAGTGGAACTGTAGGATGGTATAGTCATGGCCCAAACCTCCTCCTGACTCCTCCACCAAATTTTCCACCAGTACACACTTCACTGGCAGTTGTTTGACAACACAAGAAAAGAATACTACAAACATACTCTTTTGATTTAGATGAAGAAGATTGGCATAAAAATAATGTAAGATGCTGTAATAATGTAAATAAGAACCTTTATATTAACCATGTCCAAAACAATTGCGAATGATTAAAAAAAACCCTTCAAACTTGAATGGCCTGTGTTGGTGATGTACTTGATAGCGTGGTTGTCATCAAAATGTTTAAATACAAAGGCATCAAGATGGCTGTCCGGCACAGCATTGTTTTTGTCAATGTTGATGGGTGACTGGTGTGTACTGCTACAGTGGGAGCCAGGCAGAAGCTGTCAAGAAGGTGGAGTGTCAGCTATTTGCAGAAAACATTTTCAGTCAAAATCCTGATCTCAGAGTATTTTCAGTATAAAACTCTCCTGATAAATGTGCTGATACATACCACAGTGATGTGGATGATAACACCATTCATCTGAAGAATGGAAAAAGAGTCATATATGTAATGTGCCAAATCAAAGTCATAAAAATGTATCAATCATTTATGTTTTTTTCCAATTTACAGGGAGGTAGAGGAGTTCCAGGGGAGGCATACACATTACGTTCGTGCAGAGGTTGTGTAGGTCGGTAGATATTATTCAGGTGTGTTTCCATGGGAAACTTCTTAATCTAAGAACAGATTACCAAAGGCTAGGTTAAGGTTAACATCAGCTAGCGCCCTGGCAGCACAGACATACACTCCCTAAAGCAGTGACTGTGACTGAAAAAGCCTTGCTCATTCAGATAGCCTGTACTTTTTTGTAAGAACAAGGAAACATACCATAAAAGAAATCACAATAGCACATAGAAAATGTATCAAATGTTTTACATAGAAAATGTATCAAATGTTTTACATAGAAAATGTATCAAATGTTTTACATAGAAAATATACAATTTTAAGTGGAAAAAAAAGTTCATTTTAAATTTGATGACAGCAACAAATCAAAATCTAGACTCAAGGCAGACCACAGCACCCAGACTCTTTTTTAAGACTCCAAGCTGCTGTAATAGATTCAGTATATAGTTCTATATAGTATATGGAAATATGCAAGGCCTTCACTGGAAAAGATGTTGTCCAGATGGGAAAATATGTCACTTTTTTAAACATGTGTGATTTCTCCAGATTATCCAGATCTTTTGATGACATTATGCACTGTAGATGACGAGATATTTAAATATCTCCCAGTGTTATGGAGAAGAACATTACTGAGATATTAAACTGGTTTTTGGTGAGCATCTGCCAATATTTGCTTCTGAGCAACTCTGTCTGTCAAAGATATTCTTTTTATATATATTCTAATCACCTGTTTCTATTTAACCTAGCAGCAAAATCCTTTTCCAGCTGTTTTCTTGTAGTAACATGTACTTTTTGCCTTTTGATGATGATGAGATGAGATAGCCTTTATTTGTCAGTTGCAGGTCATTTGCCCACAACCAAGATGACAGACCTTGCCGACCGTACATACAATACAAACATCACAATGGGGAGACAGGTCAGGCTAGGTAGCAAGGAAAAAAAACATCAAAATGTGCAACACAGAAGGATAATACAGGAATGCACAGATATCAACACACCATAACACAATAAACACAGACAAGCAACATGGGAAAGTGTTCCAGTGTGTACATCTGATCTGGGACCGCTGCAATCTTTTGACTGCGCCTCCAGCTGACCCGATGTCCACATCAGAGGGGAGGTAAGCGTTGGAGGTGGCGTTGGATAGGAAGGGTGATGCGTCAGTGAGTGATCAGTATAGTGCGTGTCCATAGTTCAGCTGAGACAGTGTCCTTCGCCCCGCCAGGCTAAGTAAACAGTCTTCCAGCCAACCCAGGTGGCCTTGCATGGAATGGGAAGGAACAGACTCAACACAGTCGTTATCGGGGAGTTTTTGTTCGGCTCCAGCCTTGAGCCCACAGCTGGCGCCGAAGGGGTAGCCGGATTATGATGGTAATTTTTATTTTGCAAACAACTCATGAGAATTTCAAGCTGTTTTTAATACTCCGACACTGGTCTCTCAATCTCCCGTTAATAGCTGCGAGTTTCTCCGTGATGTTATTAGCCGTCGATTCTGTGGTCTTGTCACTCTTTTTGCTCACATAGCAGATTCTGAGACCTCACGACCGCAGCCAACTGATCCGAGATGTAATCCAGCTTCCGCCCAGAGATGTTGTTCTGAGTTGATTCTTTCCTGATGTAATCCAACATACATACGCTCAAAGGTGTTATTCTGAGCATTCACTGCAGTCGTAAGCGCCTCCAAGCTCTTAACCATGCTGCCTTCAGTGAGCCCTTTCTGAGAAGTCGCACCTGTCGTTCCAATCCCAGCGGGCAGCCTTGTGGGGGTTTGAACAGCCGGTTCCGCTCTCTTAATTCTCCGATAAGCCAGGGCCAAGCCAGCTCCGATCAGCAAGAACCCTGTTATCATGGTTCCGAATAGGTAGATATCTTCAGCGTCCTCGATCGACAGTCCCGCCAGGCACACGATCCTCTGCCACCCGTCCATCGTGTATCCGGCAGGGAAAGTCCCTCCAGGGCACTCGGGTTCTCCCGAGCCCAGACTTCTCGTTAAAGGGTGTCAATAGCATTCAGAGACCAGTTGATCAAATCCATAATTCTCTTTTAGGTTTTAGACACAGACTGTGAGAGGGTGTTCCAGGGAAAGTAATACAAAAAAGACACGAGACTAGACAAGGACATAAGAACTAGCAGGGAAGATAAGGGAGAGGAGAAAAAGTGCGTCCGCCTCCTCCGAGAGCCAAAGAAAGATTCAAATTGGGATGTTGCCGTCATCCCAATTTGATTGACTGACGTTGTTGCCATCAAATTAAAAAACTGTACGCACACATGTCCTCTGAGTGTTTTAAGAGATTTTTATACTGGTTGATCCTTTAAGTTAAATTCAAAGAGTCATGCATCTGCTGAGCCACCAGACAAGTCTAGGGCTTACATAGACATATGTGCGCCTCACTATCTGCAGTTGGCTGGTAAATGATCAGGTAGATAAGTTGAAAAGAAAGACTTCACTTGTCATTCTGTTACTTTTGCATGACTCGGAATTATCTGTTTATCCCACACAGTCACGTGCCGTTTGCGCAACATTTTCACTTGTTGACAGAGTCAACAGAAAAAGACATAAATAAAAAGGCATGATTATCAAACACAATAATCAAGCAGACACCAGCATGTACCAGTATGCTCCATCGGTATGTCACCAGTAAGTCTAGAGCTGCATGTCTGCACATTTCAGTGATTGCTTCTGCAACTGTTTGTAAATCCAACACAAACAGAAGGATTCCATTTGCCATGAGTCATTTACTGGTCGAGCTATTCAGTAGGATTAGCAGTAATTAAATAATTAAATAATTTCTAATCCACATTAATTAATATAAGAAGCTTTCTTTTCAGCATTTTCTCATATCATATATATTTGTTTGTTTGTTGTGTTGTGTTAAAAGGAGGAAGAGAACATTCATATTTGCAAATCCCCTTAAATTCACTAAACACAATCTTTGCTCCTCTTATGCTAAAGAGAACTCACCAGTTCACTGTTGGCGTGGATTGGCTCATGAAAGATTGTCCACACGACTGCTTCGTTGCAAGCAGGCGTTGTCAGGGAACCCATGTATTGGTAGAACTTTGAAACCAGTTTTGTTGCCTATTTAAAAATAGCAGCGTGAAGTCTGGGACATACTGACATTTATGAAAAACCCAAGTACAGCATATCCATCTGGATGCTCCCGGGGGGCAGTGAGATGATCCTTCTGAGTGACTATGTGCATCTGGAAGAGATTCCAACCATTTAACCATTTATAAGGCAAAGCAAAACAAGGAAAAGAAGTTTAGACGTCAAGTGATGAAGAAACATTGTACCTCCATTGGATATCTGTGCTCATCGACTGTGTGCTCTGAACCCGGATGATTTCCATCACCCCAGTGAAAGTGAAACTGAAGTCCTGTATATGTTCCACTAAGTCCACCTCCACTCACTTTAACTTCATTTCCTTTCAATGTGCACACCACTACAAATGGGTGTAACATGGAAAACTTTGATAAACATATTTAATTATGACAGAGATGAAGCCTTTCTTAATTTCTACAACATACTACAAACAGGATATTTGCTATTACACAGTGGTAGAAAATACTTAAATCCTTTTCTCAACCAAATGTATACAATGCATTTTAATATTCAGTATTAGCAGTAAAGTATCTCAAAAATTAAATGAAGTAAAACGTGAGTTTTTGTACCTGTATGTCCATTGTTCATAATGGACGTGAAGACATCCTTAGAGTTGAAACCATTGAGGTTGAAGTTTCCCAGGTTAGGGTCAGTCGTTACATTTTTGGTCACAATATCAATAGGGGACATCTTTGATCCTCCACAAAAACTGTTAGTCAGGTTTTTCCACTTAGTGTGTGAGCTGTAAAATTGAGATGCAGACTAAATACCAAAGTCAACCAAATATGATGAAAATCATTCATTCAGATGTTTATCAGATAATTAGCACAGCCTTGATAACAACAATCACTTGCAGTGGCTGAAATGGAAATACAGCAAATATGAGCCTTGAGTAATGCTCATTCATATCCTGGATAAACTGCTTCTTGTTTGTATAAACATGTAAGAGTGACATGAGGGAGAAAGTGAAGCATGACATGTCTATTTTCAACACAAGTGGAAAAGGATGATGGTAATCATTATAAAAGTAAAACTAACGCATTTTACTCACCACATGCTGCCAAAGGCCAGAAACCCAGGTACAGGGTGAGAGTGGGATAATACATCTTCAGGGTGAAAAGAAAATCAATCATCAATAAAAAAAAAATCCATTTGCTCTAGATGTTATATTTTGAGAAAGAGAAAGCAGCTCTGTTATGCTCTCATTGATAGCTAGTTACTACTTAGTAATGAAGGTCTGCTGTTAATGCTAGTTTGCAGCTTTCTATAGGGCCAGTGAAAATTCTGTGTTTTTTTTATTCAGCTGCTTCAAGCGTGGACTGTGAATCATCCAGTATTTTAGTACATAACAGTCCATCTCGGAACTGAAACCCAATTAAGTGCCTTAAGACAGAATAAAGTGAAGAATGTGCATCACAAAAATCTCAAATGATCACTTGGATAAGATTTGTGATCCTCATTTCTTACAAAACTCCATGAAGAAGCTTTCAAGATCAGACAAGCTGATTATATTACTGTACTCATTGTTGAAATTTTGACAAACCGTTCTATCTTTACTCTCGCAGTCTCAGGTCTCCAAGGTTTGAAAAGTGATGTGTTGGTTTCAGGTGTCACATTAAAAACTTTTTTCCAAGTCCAATAAGTCCATCAGTGAGAAAGGGGTAACAAACTGCTGCAGTACACTACAAAATGTATGTATATACTATGCTAATCAATGGGAGGATGCCCACTGTGTTTAAACAATGTACATATGTAGGGGAGACACACAACATGGTTGCTGGACTTTTTTCAGAAACATGGTATTCAAAATAGAGGCATCAATAAGAGCACACCAGATAACTGGTAAAATCAGTATGTATAGCTACATTCATTCTACTCTTTGATATATCACTCAGACACCTATAGAGCACAGGCTCAATGCAAAGGTGAAATAATTGAGCCTGATTTAACCTTAACACTTACAGTGCTTAATAGATAGATTAATTAGACCACCGTCCAAAGCACAGCTGCCTTAAATTAACAATACTGGTAATTATAAACAGAATATTTAATGTTTCTGTAATGGTTAATCCACCAGTATCCACAAACGTTTGAATCAAAATGACATTTTTAAAGACAAAATATGATTATTAATTTTTAAATATACTGTTTTACAAAAGAATGGAGAAAAAAGTAAAGGACATAATTATTATTTTTGTTAAATATGCCAAATCTAAGTTATTTATTCACTCCTGAAGAGAAAAATCAGCTTAAGTGGCTCAATGTGATGTTTGATTAATTTCTGATTTCTCCAAGAAGTTTAGTGTGCCAGCTGCAACTTCAAAACTATTTACTTCAAATTACAACTGAAACTACTCAAATAAAACCAGCAAGAAAACAATATGAAATCATATATTTGCTCCCAGAGGATGGAAGAAGTGAAGAAATGGTGTCCAACAATTGCTTTATAATAAGCAAAATCATCAGACATATTACACAGTTCAGATACTCAGTTCATGAAATGTTTCACAGAAAATAGAAGAACTTTTTGTTGAGTATCACATATTTTTTATTTTTTATAGTCCAGAAAAATCACCCTTAGCATCTATTACTCCTCTGAATAATCTAGACAAAATAAAAGTGAACATATAAGCAGGGTCTTATGCAAAACACTGAATAATGATACACATACCTACAGACAAGTATCTATTTGCAGTCAATACTACAGTGATCGTGTGACCATCCACAAACTATTATCAAATAAAATAAAACAATTATACACAAAACATTCACAAATCACAGTTAATAATTATTAAATGATTAGTAATTACACTAGTCAGTCAACAGCAGAGACAAATTTATAAAATCCAATAATCAATGCCCATCATTCATATGTCAGCTTATTACAAAATATTGTTAGGTAAAGGTACAGAGATTTGCAGTTTTTTGTATCACACGGGCAGCATGTCTGTTACCTGGTAATGTTTAATGTCACTCAGTCTTGTGTTTGTACACACATCACTTTGGTAAGTGAACCTACTCAACAGGTTTTCTGTCCTTCATGTCCTCACACATTCATCACTATGCTTCATTAGGCCCAGTTCTCTTTGTGTTTATGCAGAACAGAAATACAGCAAACACACAACACCTCCTTTTTCCAAAACATTAAAGACCATGGCGTGTTACGGACTGAACATACAGTATATAGGCAAATGAAAGTGACTGTGTGGATCAGAGAGAGACTTGATCTTGACATGAAAACATTTGTGACTTTGACAATTTGTTGCTGTTTGTTGTTGGGGTTTTTTCTCTCTGACAAATGAACAAAATTTGTTTTCTAACTAGCGAGGAATCTCAAAAAGATCACACTATATCTTACCAATTTAGATAAAAATGTATTGTTTTATTTAAAAAATATTATCACATGTAATTTTCTGATGTTTACTTCTGAGTATACTAGATTAATTTTTCCTATTTACTTTGATTCATTTGTCACAATGAGTAGTGCTTTAAAGCAGCCATGCCTTACCTCTTGGTCTGTGGCAGTCTGTCGACAAAATAAGCACAGTGGTTTTGGTTTGAGCTTAAAGACAACAAACTGCTAACAAAAAAGACATGCATCGCGGGGTCCCTGTTTGATTGACAGGTTTGAATGTTTACTTATTAGAAAAGATTTTTAAAATGTTGGTATCAAGTTTCAGCTTTGATTTGGACCATTTTTCCCTTTTGGTTAATTAATTGTGTTTCTGTGTATATGGAAGACTAAGTGCCTGAATTACCCCTTGTTTACCAAATCTTTAACCCACAACTTTCCTTTCTGAACCCAATTCTTTATTGTGAACCAATCAGAGTGTAGCAATTGAATCACAGAAGCTAAAGGATGCTCATGATGCACAAATCAGCTACGCTGAACACATTTTTATCAAAAGAACAACAATATTTACTGGATAATGCAAAAACAGGTAATACAATGTTTTAGCATTAAATTATACTCTAACAGAATGCAAGACAACAGAACTCAAAAAGGACACAAATTTTCATAATGTTCATGTTCCTTTTGGCCTCTACTGCAGTCATACATATGCCTATAAACACTTCTGCTTTTACCATTTATATGTATTTTATATATATTTTCTTGTCTGCATGATTCATGTCATGTCAAGTGTGTCAACCTTTATATATCTTTTTATAACAATAAAAAGACAAAAGAAGAGAAAAAGGCAGAAAGAAGAAATCATATTTGCAAAATCTGTGCATACTGATATTTTTCTGTTCTTCTTACAAGAGAGCTTTAGGTATGATTTAAAACATAAATATTTCTTTGCTTTTGTTTCATGACAAGCTCATGTTTGATGTGGTGAAGTCAGGGGAGTAGTTTCCCACATAAGGAAATTAACATAATTCTCAGGGAGCTCAGAGCAGAGAGGCAAGAGTCCTGCAAAAACAAAAGCATAACTATGTGTAAAGGCAACAGTGCAACAATAACGCATCTAAAAATATCTCTGTGTTTTTAAATGTGAATAGTCTTACTGAAAGAGGGATCCAGTCAGCTCATCAACAAAACCACCTGAAAAGAAATACAACATTTATGTCAAACCAAAGTTAATTAAATCTGTGAACACACATCAGTACCCCCAAAGAATCACAACTAGCACTTACCCGGTGTGCAAACTGTGTCACAAAGAATGGGACAAATGTAGCAGGTTGAGCAACCCTGGAAAACAAAACAAACAAAAAGAGAACAGGATTAACATAAAGAGGCACTAGGTGAAACAAAGTGCTGTGTATTATTACAGAAGTTATAATCTTTTTTAAGTCAAGATGCTTGCTTGGCAGTGCTCGCAGTGATCTGACTCATCTCCTTCCTCACACGGGCACTTGGCACAGTCATTAGAGCAATGCTACAAGATGAGAAGGAACCACAAGGTATAGTGATTAACCGTGCATATGGTATATAGTCAGGACTTATAATCATTTGTAGCAGGTTGCTGAAATTATGTAAAACCCAACTCTAATGTGTGATTACTGGGCAGATGTGCAAATAAAATCTGTTATTTCCATGATATGTTTTTTTTACCTCACAAATGGAGCAAACACTACACAACGATCCAGAGTGGAACTGTGGAGTGTCAGCAGCTCCCTCCTCTTCATCTGAGTCACTTTGGTTGTCCTTTGTGTCTTTACCTTCAGACTCATCTGTAAATGGTTCAGGAAATCATCTTTATCGGAAATGTATTTTATTCAGTTCAATTCAGTTTTATTTATAAATGGTCAAATCACAACAACACTTTCCCCAAGACGCTTTATATTGTAAGCTAAAGACGAGGGAAAGCCCCAATAATCAAATGACCCCCTATGAGCAAGTGCTTTGGTGACAGTGGGAAGGAAAATTTCCCTTTTAACAGGAAGAAAGCAGAACTAGGCTCATTCAGCAAACTGCCACAACTGGTTGGGGGTGAGGGCAGGAAGACAGGCCAAGACACGCTGTGGAAGAGAGTCAAGTGTATCTTGTAGAACATTAAATTGTCTATAAAAGAAAAAAAAAAGATGATCATAACTCTACGTGTCTTTCTTCATTATTTAACCTCCTCTTTAACATGAAATCACAAAATTAATTTAATGATCTGGATAGCAAAATATCTTTTAGATGCGAACATTAGATATTAGAGTCAGGATTTGTCAAATGTTGCAGTAAAATGCAGCTTAAAAATGTATCAGAATGTATCTTATGTTAGACTGCTCTGTTACTATATAGCACTGAGACATACATGTGGGGTAGAAAATGCATAGGTAAGTATTTATTATTGTAAATACCCACGGCAATGCTTTTTAGTATCCCTTTCTTTATTACGGTTGCTGTTGCAAACACACGAACGGCTGCAGCTCTACAGCTTCCAGCCACACAATCATCACCAACAACAACAACTACAGACAGGCATCACAGCTTCTTATTTCGGCGAGGCGTTTTTGCAGATGCAGTGTAGGTGCGTCCATCTCCCCTGCAGTGGCACCGCAGACCATGCCCCGCCAGAATTACAAAAGCAAGTAATGCCATGTAATCATATTTGTCCATTTCATTAGGTACACCTGTTTAATTGCTGTTTAATACAAGGATCGACACCCGGAAAGTATACACAGCGCTTCAGTTCTTACACATTTTGTCATTTTACAGCCTTATTTGAAAACGGATTCAATTAATTTTTAACCTCAAAATTCTACATACAATAATGAAAAAGTGAAAGTATATTGCATGAAATTCTTGCAAATTTACTCAAAATAAAATACAATAATATAAAATTTAAAGAAGTATTCACAGCCTTTGGTCAATATTTTCTTGAAGCACCTTTGGCAGCAATTACATCTCATAGTTCCTGCTGCCGAAAAACATCCCCACAGCATGATGCTGCCACCATCATGCTTCGCTGTGGTGATGCTATTTGCCAGCTGATGAGCAAGGTCTGTCTTTTACTGAGGAGTGGCTTCTGTCAGGCCACTCTACCATATAGGCCAGACTGGTGGAGCTCTGTCAGAGTTACTATTGGGTTCTTGGTCACTTCCCTGAAAGAGCTCAATTTTCAGTGTCATGTCAAAGACTGTGAATGAATATAATCCGTTTTGGAATAAGTCTGTAACATGACAAAATAATAATAATAATAATAATAATAATAATAATAATAATAATAATAATAATAATAATAAT